CCGCGGCGCACCCCGAAAATTCGTCAGCGCTATCCATGGTCTCTAGCTGTTGCTCGATGTCCGCAACGAGCCGAACGAGGCTCTTCCGCAGTCTGACTAGTTGGGACTTGTGGAGTTCGGAGTCTGCGGTTGGCGAAGGGGAGCAGAGTAGGTCGATGAGATTGTGGCAGGCGGATGGGGAGAAAGGGGGGGAGAGGATGGCTTGGACGAGGATCTGGATGCGATGGTGGGGAGATGGGATGCTTGGGTATTAAGCTTCGCGCGTTTCGCAAAATGTACTTGAGGGAACAACGCCACCCTTCGCCCCTCCCGTCCACACACCTCCCACATCTCACCATCCTCCTCAAGGCCAAAACGGCCTTCTCAAACAACCCCCCCAGCCTCGCATCCACCCCGTTCAACCGCTCGCTGTCAACCGGACACGCGTCCAATCCCTCCAGCAGGGAGCGGACCCTCACGCGCCTGAAAGCCTCGACAGCCTCGACTGCGGTCAGACCTCGCAGGAGGCTCTGGCAGTCAGGGGAGCAAGGCGCGGTTTGTGGGATCGCGGCGCGGGCGGTCAGGAGAAGGACCGAGAGGTGGGCAGCAGGGTTGGGAGCTGGGGGAAGGAAAGGGACGAGTCTTGCGGCGAGGCGGGTGCGGAGGGAGAGGGTTTGGTCGTCTGGAGGGACATGTGGTGCAGATGGTGCAGTTGTGGTGTTGTGTTTTTTGGGCAGAGTAGCGGCGAGGTGGTCGAGGATCCAGGCGGGGATTGGCGAGTGGGTTGCGAGGCCAGTTGAGTTGTTGTTGTTGACGATGGTGTAGTTCGCGGCGGCAGGAGACATTGAAAAGTTCGCTTTCGCAGACTTGTTGAGTGTTCCAGGGGGTCAGCGGGGCAGCAGGGGCCTGTTGTTTTTTGGCAGGAGAGAAGGGGAACCTGGGGAAGGGAGAAGGCAAGACAAGGTCGCGAACAAGTGAAATAAACCATGGATACATTTCCCGTACAGTCTGGATACAGTACAGTCTTGATCACTGAGACACCAGCCGCTCCTGCTTGGCCCTGTTGGCGCTGACTTGTGAGACTGCAGACAGTCCAAAGAAAACTGTGGGACTCGCCGACCTGATTCCACTGGAGTCCTTTTGCGTCCATCCCTCAACCTCCTTCGATCAACAACTGCCCAAAGGACCTCAAACACAACAGCTCCAAAAAACAAACGTAACAACTTGCCGCCACCTCCCCACCATCGCCTGTCCCCGAGCTGCTCCAAAAACCCCTGACCCTTCTCTCCCTTCCCGCCAACTCCAAAAAAAAAAATACAGGTCTCATTTCTTTCCTTTCCCAGCTCCCCCCCACCCCTGCTCCCACGCATCTCCAAGCCGCGACCCGCCCCCCTCGACAGACAAAAGCGACACTCCCTCCCTCGGAAGAGCCCTCGCAATGTCGCTGTCCAGCGTGGCACGCGTTTACGCAAACGCAAACGTCGATCAGCCGAGAGATTACTGGGACTATGACAACCTGGCAATCAACTGGGGGTGCGTTGTTTGGTTGAACGGGAGGCGGTTAGTCGAGGGTGTTCGGGCTGGTGTGGGGGGGGGAGGGGGGGAGACAGCTTAGGAATCATAGTTCGACCGTGCGCGGAACGGAGGATCGCAATCGAGAGTTCGGTCGAGGGATCCCTCTCGGGAACTGGACGAAGAATCTGCCGAGGTCTTGGCTGGGGTCGGACGATGTGGAGCGAGGGCCGTGAGCGGGTTTTGACGGGCACCGCGGTGGGCGAGAATTTCTGGTTAAGACGTTAGCTTTCATGCGGGGACCCCGAGGCGGCGAGACTTTTTACTGGGATATTGAAGGGAGCAAGCTTTCGTGCCGCCGGGACGATTTTCTGGGAAGCTCTACACTCCGCTCGCCCCGCCGTCCTCCCCACCCCCCTTTCACCCCGCATTAACCCAATCTGCCCACTCCCCCATCTAGCTCCCAAGAAAACTACGAAATCGTCCGCAAAATCGGCCGCGGCAAGTATTCGGAGGTATTCGAAGGCATCAACGTCGCGAACGACGAAAAGTGCGTTATCAAGGTCCTCAAGCCCGTCAAGAAGAAGAAGATCAAGCGCGAAATCAAAATCCTCCAGAACCTCAGCGGGGGGATCAACGTTATTCAATTACTCGATGTCGTGAGGGATCCTCAGGTGAGGGGGTAGGGGGTAGTTAGCGGCAGGGGGAGGGGTTTGTGAAGAGAGTGGAGGGGGGAGGGGGTCCGGAGGCGGGAGAATGGCTCCTGTCGGACGAAAGGAGACAGATTTTCGGAATTCATCCCGGAGGTGGGAGATGGGGACGACAATCCCTTATATGAGTGGTTTT